TATATAGCACACAGCTGCCGAGGCAGCACCTCGTCTTCTCTGAGGATTTCTTACTTACAGTAGTCTCGACAAAGTAGCTGACAGGTAAATGTGCTTACATGGTTGAGCGAATTTGTGAGAAATTGTGCGGTGCGTGGCAGGCATTCAGGGTGACTGATGGAGCAACAATCTCGCGCGCGCACACACACGCGGAGGCAGAGGAAGACACACTGGGAGGAGAGAGGCAGGCAGGAAGGTGCTCACTAGTTAGAACAGCGAGATTTTTTTTTCTGTCCGCACACTCACACACACGATTGTGAGGTTGTTATACATACACTACAATTTAGCTGTCATAAGCTGCCAAAGACAGGCGTTTCCCAAGCGTGACGGGAATGTAGACTCTGCGGGTTGAAGCGGAACACAATTGCGCACATTTTTATTGGGAACATGCGCAATGTATTAGGGGAAAATGACAAATAAAGACCCACGTGTGAGCGCCAGTATTTATTTACGCATTTTTTCTGGGCGTAAAGTTGCTTAAACGGGCAAAACAAGCGTCCTGTCACATTCACCTGAATTCCAATCTCTTCATTTTTCTCACATCTCTTATCGATCATGCGTCACTAATCCTCCTGGACCCACATTGACTTGTGCGTATCAACCCGGAGTGAGCTGTGCGTAAAAACGCACCTGGCACGAACACGCAGAACAGCGATCCTCTACTATTCCCCACATTTGATTCCCCCAGTCTACACACACACACACACACACACACACACACACACACACACACAAACTCACCCAGGGTGTGAACGCAGGTCCTCCCCGCGCGTCTCTTGATGTTTGTTCGTGTATCTCGTAAAAAGAGAGTGGAGAACCCGGGCAGCAAAGGCGTTAAAGAACTAGTGGACGGCAGCTAAACGCCGCCGACTTCCCCCCTTCTTCACCTCTTCCTCCTCCCTTCTTTTACTGCTTTCCTCACTCCTCCCCTCTTTCCCGGGGCAGGTTGAACAGCGGCTGCAATAATCCAGACATTGTTCTCTTCATCAGCTCGTTTTAAAGCAAAGACTGGACTGGAAAGGACTCCCGATTCTCGTTAACTTGGGAGTTTTGAGGAATTCTCCTTTCAGACTGGAGGTGCTGTCCAGTGTAATCCGAGCTCAGGAAAGGTCTGAAAGAACAGCCCACAGACTTACAAAGCTCAGAATGAAGCTGGAGTCAGACCTGGAGTTGAACTATGACTGCAGGTGGCGCAAAGGGGAGAGAAAGTTTGCTTTCAGTTTAACTACAAGAATAAATTAAATAAATAAATAAAACTGACACTTGGCGAGAAAATGAAAAATAATCCCTGCAGGACTGGTTCTTCTCGCACTTGCCTCTCACAGATCAAACTCCCTTTAGAGGGACCGTAGCGCACCTGCGGCCGGAGTGGAGACGCGCAGGTATCCACAGACTGAGCCCCCTCCTCCCCTCTCTCTGTGGATTTGATTCCGCGTTATTATTCCGACTCTCTCTGCGTGACAATCATCACTCAGTGTCAAGCCTGGCGTTGCTTCTCCAGGAAGCTAAGGAAAGCGTCTCTATTCATCGGCGCTCTCCTCTGTGTCTCCCTCTCCCTTTTCCCCCAACAAGCTCCGTCCATCCGCTTTCTATTTAACCACGCCCCTCTCAGCAGCCATTGGCTGGAAAGCGGAGAGACCGAAGACGGGGATGGTGAGGAAGGCTGCGATGATGTGTTCTAAGAAAAGGGGGGAGAAAGGGACAGGAAAGAAGACAGGGTGGAGAGAGGTGGCATTAGATAAACTACGACGGAGATGAAAATGGGAGAAGTGGGATGCAAGAAGGGTAAAAGGGGAAGGAGAGTGTCCCAGGAAATGAGGATAATGCAGTTTGTGTGCTATGTGTGGATGGATGGGTTCATCGGGGAGGGCAGTTCATGCACTGAGCTCTGTGTTTGAGCCCAGAGGGACAGGCCGGCTAATGAACGTGAAAATGCGTCCCTCCTCTTTTTCTTCTAGTACATTTCTTTTACCCACTAAGTCACTGGCAGTGCTTTAGCCATATTTGACTCTCAGCCGAATGGAACACATAATGACAGCATCCACCAATGCTAAGCATACACACTTCTGACTGTCTGTCTACTTCTTTTTCTTTTTTCTTTTTTTTAATATGGTGGCTGAAAGCTGAGTAGCTTCCTTGATGAGTCTATGATGAATTGGTGGCTACAGCAGGCCCGGTCCTTTGTGTACAAGGGAACCGGTTTTGGTACATGTGCAAGAAAACCATTTTGTTTCTGACTTCAGACAACAAACCTGAAATGTAGGACTTAAGCATGGAACCTAAAGGTAACTTAAGACTAAACATTTTTAGGTGAAAATAAAAGTAAACAGCTGGAAAACTGCAGTCACTTGGTTGAAATTGATGTGTTTGTGCAACTATCACTACCTCTAACATGGCATTTGTTACCAGTTTAAATTGGAAACACTTCAACATGTGGTTTGATGAAGGCTGATGTGGGTTGTTTTTTTGTTTTTTTTGGAACAAATGAGCAGCACGATTATTAAGTTGGAGGCCAATGACAATAAAACATCTGGATTTGTGTGATTTACTTCATCATCTAGACTTCAGGGTCTACATTATCCATGTACGAGTTTGTTTCAGTGATGCTCATGTTCTAATATTGGCAGGGAACACTGAGAACATCACTGCGTGGAAAAGCTTAAAAATAACAGATTCCCCTAAAATCAGCCTCGTTCCATATCAGCTAGTCTGCTACTCCCACTACACCACAGGCAGAAATATTTTCAGGGCTTCCTAGTGCCAGGATATGTGGACAGCACATGTTTGGTTCAGGATTTCCTATCCCATGGGCTGGTCTTTTTTTTTTATCAATACAGATCATTTTTTTAGCTGATAAGATTAAAAAGATGCACTCAGCTTATACAACAATCGCCTTCCCCCTGCTGAGCGTCTCCTTACAGTCTATCTTTAGACTCCTCTCAGGTTCATCTGTAGGCTGTGGCTCGAGTACTGGTTATAACTGTTTATGGGCACACTGCATGAAAATGGCAGACTTTTAAGGGTAAAATTATCAGTAATGAGGAAATCTTTTTTTCTTCTCTTTGGCGCCACTCCCGTTGGTGGCACTTTGGAGTAGGTGTTGTTCTCTTTGGCCTATGCCAAAAGCCATTCTTGGGTTAAAAGGAGGCTGGAGGGTGTCTTGCATGTTAAATATCCAGCCCAGAGGCAAAAGTAGGGAACTAAGTAAGTGCCTGAGCTGCCTGAAATGGAAGCAAATGGGGTGGGCTGGATATTGTTGTGGCACAACCACACATGGTAGCAGAATAAGGCAGGCAAAGTTGCTTGACAGCTCCTGGGAGAGGCTTTGATTGATGGCAACGCTCCAGGGAGTGTTTCAAAATGAACTTAGTTAACTTGGAGCCACATGAAGCATTCATCACTTGCTGCCATACAGGAGTGAGATGCTCACTGCAAGCTAGGCAGCATTTTATTTAGAAAGGCACCTGGGGAACATCTTCACTGGAGTAGCAGGTACCTATTTTCAGCTATTTTAAGGCTCACATCAACAAATCTCCAAGATTTTCTCAAATCAAAGTATCGACGTGACTGCAGCTACTTCAAGTTGCTCATCAGGTTTCGAGAGTCTTAGGACTGGGTGTGTCACGTGTGGTTTCAAAGTTTCAAAGTGTGAAATATAAAAATGATTTTGAGGCAGAAGAACAAATTCTTTTAATACAGCTCCTGTATTAAAAGATTGGTCATATTGCTTTACAGTCTTGTGAGTTGACCTAAATTCAGTAGCCACAACCCTACATTTTGATGACAATAAAAACTTTTTGATATGCATCAGTTGGAATGTCTATTTTTTGTCCACCTATTGCAACGACCTACAAGAACAAGTCTTGAAAGTCAAAAATCATACATTCTAACAGAACAAGGTTCAGATTAGGGGTTAGAGTTAGACCTCAGAGGGTAGGTTAAGTCATGATGGTCTTCCTGCTGGTGTTCCTCCTCTCCTGCATTCTCTCCCATCACTACTTTTTTCTTTATTTATTGAAAATTTAAAAACTTCTAAGCTGCCACTGTAAAGATCTGACATAGTGGTAAGCAGTACTTTCATAGCGGTCATTACAGTAGCAACAGATATTGTGGGAAATACAGTAACGAGCTGTGGAGTTGCTAGGACCAAACTGAGGTAACAAAGCCGATAAAGTTCTGATGACCGACTTTTCTTTCTGTTCTTTCAGTTCGCAGGTCGATTAAGATTTCATGTCTTTCTGCTACTCTCTGATTTAACTCTGTGCCCCATTAAAACAGCTCCTGGAGTGTTTGCTGGCTAGCTTTAGCACAAAGTGAGTTTTCATTTTAAGCCCCTGCACAGAATGAGTGAGTGAGGTTCATCGTTTTCTGTTGTTTTGAATGGCATTCATGGGGATTTGAAAAAATGTCCACTATAAAAAATTAATTAATTAAGTAATTTGTTTTTTTAAGTCCAGTAAGGATGGAGGGATACAAAATCTTAATAGATGAATGTTAACTGGTAGATATTCTATATGTGAACGCAATGTTGTGAATCCATCAGAGTGTGAATGTCAGATAGGAAGCACTTAAGAACACCGTGGAAAAAAGTGAATGTGCAAGTTATGTAAAGCTCCGATAGAGTAGAAAAGTGCTATATATATA